GAGGTGGGGAGGTGGAAATTTTTAATAAGGGAAAAGGGAGGTGGGGAGGTGGAAATTTTTAATAAAAAATTTTAATATAAAAGAAAAGATATTGTGTGCAGCAGAAAAAAATAACAACATCTTGAAATTTGCAGGCAAATGGATGGATCTAGAAAACATTATATTGAGTGAGGTAACCCATACCAAAAAAGACAATTATCATATATACTCACTCATAAGTGGTTTTTAAACATAAAGCAAAGAAAACCAGCCTACAAATCACAGCCCCAGACATCCTAGACAACATGAAGACCTTAAGAGAGATGTGGATAGATCTAATCTACATGGGAAGAAGAAAAGGACAAATGTCCTGAGTAAATGGAGCATGAGGACTGTGGGAGAGGTTTGAAAGGGAGGGGACAGGCAGGGAGGGGAACAGAGAAAAATGTAGAGCTCAATAAAATCAATAAAAAAGATATTGTGTACATCATATTAGCCAGTGGCCTTGTTTTTATTTCTTTGATAATCATCAGGGTAGTATGGCCCACAGTATAGGTAGCTGGTCCTGGGATGTATGAAGAACCTAACTTTGCCTGAAACACTGAGTGAGTTATCAATCAGATTAGTAAGATGGTTTCTGCATCAGTTCCTTCTGGAGTTTCTGGCCTGATTTCACCCATAGTTAAATTGTGACCTGAAAGTGTAAGCCAGATAAATAATTCCTTTCACTACAATGCTTCCAACAAGAGTTATTTTTAATCACAGAAACCATAAAGCATACTAGAAAATGAAATAAAGGAAAACAGCCTAAGCACTTTGGCGAAATCAACAAAATGATACAAATCAATAGATACATTTAATGAGTAGCTGAATATTAATGTTGTCAGTTCCTTAATCAAGGGACAAAGGGTATGCTATTGGAGTAACAAAGTAGGATATATATATATATTCAGTATATATTTTTTATACTTCATCATAAAAGACAGATGGAACATTACAATAAAATGAGGTAAAATGGTGTTCTAGGCAAATGTAGCTAAAAAACAAGTAAAAGTTTCTGATTTAATCTGACAAAATAGACCTAAAAACAAATATAATTAAAAATGATAAATACAGCTTCCTACTTATTAAGGGAACAATCCATGGACAAAATTGTACAATTCCACACACAGATGCACCCAGTTCTACACAGAAAATACCACTCTATGTAAAGCCACAGGCTATTGTCAAGTATCATAGTAGTTTTCATTCTCAACAATTAATTCATCATCCCAATAGAAAATGAACATAATTAAATGACATCACATGGAAAATGGCCTTAAAAGATATCTGAGGGGCAACTGATAGTGACTCTAAGATGTGTCTCTACTTGCATATACCGGCGTCCTGGGATCCTATTCTCTTTGGATATAAACCTTGCTCAACCTAGATGTAGTAGGTAGGGCCTTGGACTTTCCACAAGGCAGGGTGCATGGCACTCTTTTAGGGTTGGACTGGTGAGGGGAGAGGGTTTGTAGAGGGAGGGGGGGATTGGGAGGAGGGGAGGGAGTGGGAATTTGGATTGTTTTTTTTTAAGTAATAGATAAAGGAAATAAAGGTATCTATTGAATATTACATCCAAACAATGCTGAATACACATTGTTCACAGAAGCATATGTAATTTAATCTAAAATACATCATATACTAGGACACAAATTATGTCTTAACAAATATGGGAAAAATGAAGTAGTTCCTATACAGTCTATCTGAAAACAATGAAATGACCACAAATAAATAAGAGAAACTCTAGAAGGAAAACAAATTCATGGAGATTAAACAATTTATAACTTAGTTTTTGACTGATTCCTTGAAAAAATCAAGAGTAGAAAGACTCCTCAATAATATGAAAATTAAAACCCAACATTCTTTAATCTGTGTGATGGAATATAAACAGTCCTAAGACAGATGTTTAAAGTTCAATGTACCTACATTAAGAAATCAGAGATTGCTAATAAATTAATTAATGATTAACCTTAGGGCTTTGGAAAAATAACAAGTCAAATCAAACACCAGAACCAATAGCTGGAAGGAAAGCAGTGACATCAATGAAATTAGTAAAGTGGAAACAAGTGTAACAATAAATCAAACCTAGAAAATCAATAAAATTGAGCTGCTTCCTTCAAAGAATAGACAATATTGACAAAATTTTGGATAAACCAACCAACAGGAAGACCAAATGTGAAATCTAACACTGTAAGATGTGAAAA